TATACTCATTTTATAGATAAGGAGACTAAGGTTCAGAGTGGTTAAATCTCTAACCTCTGTTCACAGTGTCCGAAACAGAACTGGAATTTGAACTTAGGTCTGATTCCTGATCCTCTGCTGAAAAACAACTATCAACCTATTATAATGTTATATACTCTTTTAGGAGACTAAAACACTAAATAAACAGCTCACTTTAATATTTCTGGTATCCTCTTTGTTGCAGAAAACAATTGCTGGTTTTTTGTCTATGCGTAGAGTTATAAAACCAAGCAAATGTTGCCTGTGTCTTGTTATGGTCTCAGATTCTTAGAAGACACAACTTCCTACACACTAAAAATCGTGTCAAATAAAGGAATAGTGGGGAAACTTGTAGTGGTAGAAACAGTCCTACATACCGTGAATTTGCTGAACAAGAGTTATGCTGAGGGAGTATGACCTAGGTGTTATCTAGTGACATCAAGGTGTTACTGTCTGATTATCTTAGACCTGGCGTTTTCATCCAGTTGTGGGTGTGGTGCAAAGCCCTGGTTCATCTTTACTCACTGCCCGTGACCTGCGCCCTGCCACAGCCTCCTCTGTCATTCTTGGCATGGTTTCAAATTCCTTTGCTCAGACTCTGTTTCCCTGCGCCACAACTCCGTCAGTCCCTTTTGATATGAAATAGGGATAGTGATACTTAGCTCCTAGGATTGTGGTGAAGATGAAACACCATTAGGCTCGTCACGTGCGTCGGCTTGGTAGGCTGTGGATAAATGTAGCTGCCATAATTTATTACTGGCATCGTTAGTATGATTTTTAGACACTGCCGTCTGGCTTTCAAAACAAACCTTATTTCCCAGGATTACCACCCTGAAGTGTTCTATTATTGTGAAGCCATAAGTGGATGACCTTGAAATAGACACAGAAGCTGAATGAACCCTGATTACAGTCTAGATTACTGGGATAATCAAGTACAATGAGCACCACAATTAATCTGGCACATACTTAATGATATGCAGGATCATTATTGTGCCATATAGTAATTAGACATAAGTGGTAAGTTGTTCATGGAAATGATATTAATCAGAGTTACTTTTACCCAGTTAAAACAAACATGGGGAGGGAGGAGGCTGGCAGAAGGAAACTGGGCTTTGCCATCAGATTTTTTTGTTTTGTTTTGTTTTTTTTTTGTGGTGAAATGCAGTGTTCCCCCAGAACCCATCGGATTCAGTAAGGACTGTCTGATCACAGGATTTGTAGGCACTGGGGTTGCTTCAGTTTTTGGTTAGAGCTGAAAGGAGCAGCCCTGGAAACCAGCAGGGGGTGCAGGGGATGCGGGAACCTTGGGCCCTCTAGTGGAGGCTCATTGTAGATAAAGAACATAATTGCAATTGCAAAACTTCACTAGTTTCTATTGTTTGTTTTGTTTTTGTTTTTGCAGAACCAGGGATTGAATTTAGTACCTTGCGCTTGCCAGGCAAGTGCTTTTTCTATTGAGCTATTTCCCTGGCCCTAATGATCTTTTTTTTTTTTTTTTTTGTGGAACCAGGGATTGAACTCAGGCCCCTGCGCTTGCCAGGGAAGCACTTATTCCACTGAGCCATCTCCCCGGCCCCTAATGGTCTTTTTTGTTTTCTCTAGTTAGATTTTTTGATAGTGAAAATAATACATGTGTTGTGTAGAGAAAACAAAATGTGAAGAATAAAATTAAAATAATTCATGATCTCATCACTGAGTCAATCGCTACATTTTTTATTTATTTTATTCTTGTTTCTGTAAATTTTTGGATAATGAGATAATTTTCTACATACAATTCTGCATTTTTTTATTTAGCATTATTAATTTTTCTCTGTTAAGTACTATTTACTAATAACACGATGTTTGGTGTGCATTTAAGTATATATGTATTATAATTACTTGAAAACTTTATAATTTCCTTCATTGGGTAAAAAAATGTTAATATTTCACATAATTGTCTTTAGAGCATTACTTATAAATAAGAGGGAAATTCCATAGTACTTAGTGGGGACAGTAGCCTACAGGCTAGCGCTTTGGGAGGCTAAGGCAGGAGATTGCAAGCCTGGGCAGTTTGACAATTTAGCAAGCGCCTGTCTCCAAAGTAAACAAAAAATGAAAATAAATCAAGGAGATGGTGATATAGTTTAGTAAGAAAGCTATGGCTTCAGTCCCCAGTACTTTAAAAAACAAAAACAGCTAAAAATAGTTCAATGTTAGTTAAGAATTTTGTTAAACCATCTTTAATCTCTTGAGATCCAACACAAGAATTTTTCTTTTATGTTTTGGTAGGTTGTACTGAGTTTAATCCCTTAAAATATTTCTCTATTTTCTCTCTCTCTCTTTTTTTTTCCTCTTATTTGTTTGTAAACAAGATCTCTCTGTTGCCTGGGTTGGCCTTGAACTCCTGGGTTTCATGGGTCCTCCTGCTTACAATTTACTTTTTGTTTTCCTCTTTTTTGAGGTGCTGGAAGTCAAACCCAGGGACTCAAACTTGCTGGGCACGTGCTTTATCACTGAGCTAAATCCTCAACCCTTATAATTTATTTGTAACTAGCTGGGTAAATTCAGTTTAAAATGCTTCTTTCTTTTTCTTTTTTCTTTTTTTGAGATGGTTTGGCTGACCTTGAGCATGCAGTTATCCTCCTGCCTTAACCTCTCAAATGCTGGGATTACAGGCACACACCATCATGCCTGGCATCTAAAATAGTCTTAAAACTAAGAAAATCACTTTTCCTTTAAAATACTCTATAATTTAGGCTCCTCATTAAATCAGCCTTATCACCCTGTCCCTTTGTGTGCTTCTGAGACAAAAGCATTGACTTTTATATGAGCTAAGTCTAGGTGGGAGTTCAGCAGCAGTTTTGCCTGAGGAGTTGCCCCGAGCCCCAGGCTCCTTGTTAGCTAAGGGACTCTTCTGGCTGACAGTGTGTGATACATGGTCACATCCAAGGTGTGTGTCACATACCTTAATAAATGTTGCCTGATGTAAAATTGAAAAGGTTAGCACAATTCCAATTAAGTCATATTTCTGGCCAATTATTCACAGATTAAAGAAGTAACTATAAATTAGAAATATACATAGTTTCAGATAAAACAAGTGTAGGGACATGTCATTTGCTGTGAAGAAAGAACTCATAACTGATTATACCATTGTCTTTGGCCCATCAAGTTTTTTCATTTTGTTTTTGTTTTTGGTGTTACCGATAAACCCAGAGTCAGGGACTCCTGCGTGCTAAGCAAGTGCTTTCCCACTGAGCTACACCCCTAGCTTCCTTTTAAAAAATTTTAGTTTGAGACAGGGACTTGCTAGGTTGCCCAGACTGGCTTCACATTTACTGTCCTCCTGCATCAACCTTCCAGCTAGCCAGGATTACAGGTGTGTGCTCCCAGGTCAGTTTTGATCATTAAAGTCATAATCATAATAATAGCAGTTAGTATTAATTGTATGCTTCATATGTTCTTAGCTCTATATTCAAAGCAACGTATGTATTTTTTCCTTTTTTCTTTTGTATTGGGGATCAAACTCAGGACCTTGAACTTCCCAGGCAGGTGCTTATGCCACTGAGCTATGTCCCCAAGCCTCTGTATTATTTCTTAATGAAGTAATAATTAGGAAATTTAATTAGGAAACTTTGGAGTAATTGCTGTCAGTATATAGAAGTTACTCAATTTGTCTAAATTCACTTTTTTGGATGGGGATACTAGGAATTGAACCCAAGACATTCATGCTGAACTACATCCCCAGCCCCGCCCCATTCACGCTGAACTACATTTTTAAATTTTAAACAGGGTCTTGCCAAATTGCCCACGTTAGGCTTGAACTAGCGATCCTTCTACCTCAGTGCTGGGATTATAAGGGTGCAGCACAGTGCCCAGATTTAAGCTCACCTGCTATATAGGAGAGGCAGGATTTGAACTTTATCTGTGAAGACCACATCTTTTCTTAAGCAGATAGACCACTATAACTATGTTGAAAAAAATTTCCACTCTACAGGAAATGAGCAAGACTAGTAGGAGAAGTCTTCTACACCCTTCCTTGGGATTCACCAGCTTCTGCCAACTTAGTTTATTAGCTGCCTTTCTCCTTCCTAATACTTATTATTTGCGTGTTTTACTGAGCCATTTGAGAATATGGTGCAGAACTCCTGAATCATTGATCCTGGCTACTTGTACGTGGATCTGTTAAGAAAATGGACTTTCTCCAGCAGGATGATGGTTTAATTATCAAATTAAGCAAATGTAGCATGGCCACAGTACTCTGTTGTCTAATATATAGCCCATACTCAAATTTCATCAAAGTTCTCAGATCTTTTATAGCAGTTTTTCCCTTGGGTTCATGTCCAGCCCAGCATGTGGGGGTTATGTCCCTTTAAGCCTTTAACTTGTTTTTAGCTTTTCTTTGTCTTTCTGCAGACCATGCTTGCTTCCCCCTCCTTTTTTTGGTAACAGGAATTGAACTCAGGACCCTGTACTTGCTGGGCAGGCGCTATGCTGCTGAGGTATATCCCCAGCAGCCCCTCACCTCCTTTTGTAGTACTGGATTGAGCCTAGTCCCTCTTTATGCATACTAAACAAGCACCCAGCTACTGAGTGACATGCCCACCTCTTTTGAAAAAAATTTTAAATTTTTAAAATTAGGTTGTCCAGGCCAACCTAAATTTGGGGGTCTTCCTGCTTCGGCCTCCCAAGCATCTGGGTTTACAGGCCTGAACACCACACCTGGCCCAGGCCATGCTTTCCACAGCCTGATTTTGCTACCACAAGAAAACAAAAAGCTGTTGGCTGTGGAGGGAAGACAAGTTCAGCTCCATCCCTCCCCTGTGTTCCTCAGGCACCCAGCTGCTACTCACTGTGTCCGCAGGACAGTGATGTCGTGATCGTACTGTGGTTGGTGGCTGTGTGTCGCTGGGCTCTTTCATTGAAAAGTACTGACTTGTCATGGCTTTCCCATGTGTTAAAACTCGTCTCTGTCCCTGAGTTACAGTTAGTTCTTTCCCAGCAGTCAAATATGTCTTGTTTTCTGTCCTCAGTCTCAAAGAAGATGGTGCAGGAACTCCCTATGACAAGGAATCCACAGCCATTATAAAGCTGAATAATACGACAGTTCTTTACTTAAAGGAGGTGACAAAGTTCCTGGCTCTCGTTTGCTTTGTGAGAGAGGAAAGCTTTGAAAGAAAAGGTAATGTTTTGTCCTGGTTTGAAAGACACCCTCCAGGTCATGCTGCCTTTGCTACTGAATGTGGGTGAGACTGGAGGGAAGCCAGAGTGGCCCAGAGGTGGGGTCTCGGGCCAGCGACCCTGTTGCCCCCCCAGTGGTACAGCTGGGATTGCATGAGGTGGGAACAGAGCAAGATGTTGCTGCCCCACGGCTTTAGCCTCTGCATGCTGGGATGTCCCGGCCAGGCTACTCTGCACCAGGGAAAGGACTCTACAGCTGCACCAAAGGTGGTGGCCTCTTCCTCGGTCCGCCCTGCAAGAAGGCCCTAGTTGACCAAGGGACCCTTTGTTCTCCCCAAGTTAAATGAGGGGGTGGAAAGTCATACAGCATTAAGGTTAGCAGGTAATTAGCTTCTAGTTAGCCTTTATGCGCTTTCAAATATTCAAAACACAAGGATCAGAAAAGAGAAGGCATGACTATACCAAATATCTTTTTAGAACCAAATTCAATTTTGCTTTAAAATTTTATTTTAAAGCAAAACTAAGCTTTCTCCCTATTTAAAGTTACTAATGTGTACAGGGATTTTTGTTAGTATATAAGGTATGTTTTATCAGTTTGTTCAGTATAAACATTTCCAACAAAGTGCAGAGAATAACATTGTTTTGAATGTGTAAAGAACAAAATAAAACCATTTATTTCATGTTAGAGCTAAATCTCATGTTAATTTCTTTCTTTCTTTCTTTCTTTTAACTTTTTTTGAGGTGCTGGAGATTGAACTTGATACCTTGCACTTGTCAGGCAGGCGCTTGTGCCACTGAGCTATATCCCTGGCCCTCATGTTAAATTTCTGAGATTTTCTTCAGTCTCCCCTTTCCCATCTCCTCTATTTTTCCTTTCCTTCATCCCTCCCCCCACTTCCTTTCCAATAAAACTGGAGCCATATTACTTAGGTAGTTTTTGTATCTGGTTTTTTTATTTTTTTCATTTGTATTATGAAATCTTTCTAGTTTATTGGCCATGAAAATAGAATTTAGATTTTATTTTTAATCATAAAAGTAATATTCACTTAGAAAATTTAGAAATAGCAAGTAAGCAAAAGAAAAAATTGATAGGCTTCTCAGAAAACTGATTCCTTCCCCT